ATTTATTTCGAGAGAGAAAAAGAGCACGAGCAGGGGAGGGACAGAGAAAGAATCCTAAGTGAGCTCTATGCTGACAGAACAGAGCTCGACACGGGGTTCAAACTCACAAACCGTGAGATCATGACCTGAGCTAAAATCAAAGAGTCTGACACTTAACCAACTGAGTCACCCAGGCCCCCCTCCCATATTTCTATTTTGATGAATACTCCATGTACAGCTTCAAAAGAATGTGAATTCTATTGTTGGGTAGAGTTCTCTGAAAAGATCCATTAGGTCAACTTACTTCATAGTGAAGTTCAAGTCTTCTATATCCCCACTAACTTTCTTTCCATTTGCTCCATCGACTATGTAATCTACAGCAAAAATAGCGGATTTCTTTATTTTTCCTTTTAGTTCTAAGAAATTTTGCCTTGTGTGTTTTGAAGTTGTGTTATTATACTCGCTTGCAAGTTCGGGATTTTTACATCTTGTTGAATTCACTCTTGCATGACGATGAAATGTCTCTCCATGACTAGTTAAGATTCCTGGTCCTGAAGCCTAGTTTTATGGGATGTTAAGCTCATACCGTTAGCACGGCTTATCTTCTTCCATCCTTTTAGTTTTAACCTATCTGTATCTTTAAAGTGTGTGTGTGTGTGTGTGTGTGTGTGTGTGTGTTTAAGTTTATTTATTTACTTTCAGAGAGAGTGAGAGCAAGAGCGAGCATGGGCTGGAGTGTGAAAGGCAGAAAGAGAATCCCAAGCAGGCTCTGCATTGTGAGCGTGGAGCCGGACACAGGGCTCGAACCCACAAACTGTGAGATCATGACCTGAGCCAGATCGAGAATCAGATGCTTAACAGACTGAGCCACCCAGGCACCCCTGGGTGTTAAAGTGTGTCTCTTATAAATAGCATATAAATGAGGCTTACTTTTTTAACCACTCTGACAGTCTCTGCTTCTTAATTACACTGTATGGAAAAATTTACATGAAATATAATTACCAATATGGTTAGGTTTAAATTTACCATCTTGATTTTTGTTTTCCATTTTTCTCATCTGACTTTACTTGTTCTTCTTTTACTGTCTTCAAGATTGATCATTTTTAAGTATTCCATTTTATCTTCACTATTGGCTTATTCGTTTTATGTAAAGTTCTTTTAGTGGTTGATCTCAAGTAGCCTTTCTCAAATAGAGTTTTGTGAGAATAAAGCTAACAGGAAATGATATGAATGAATATTTTTAAATATCCCAATGACAGTATATAGCTCTTAGATGCAAAGAACAGAAGATACAATAAAGAGCTTTAGTTTTTACCAAATATGAAAACACTTTGGTCATTCTTTTTTCAAGTATTTCTTCTTTTCCCACCTGCACTGCGCTGTGACCGCAGGTAAAATCTATTAGACCACCTGATACTACTCCACAGGACACTGAGGTTCTATTCATGTTCTTAAACCTTAAAAAAAAAATTTTTTTTAAGTTTTATTTATTTATGCAATCTCTACACCCAGCATTGGGCTTGAACTCATGACTCTGAGATCAAGAGTTGCATACTCCACGGATTGAGCCAGCCAGGTGCTCCTACACTTTTCATTTCTTTGTGTGCGTTGGTTTTGATTTTCTACTTCTGTGTCTTCAAATTCACTAACTTTTCTTCTGTAATATCTACTCTGCTATTAATTCTGCCATTTTCTTTTTTCATTTCAGAGACTGTAATACTTAGCCCTTGAGGTTCTACATGGTTCTGTTTTATACCTTGCAATTCTCATTCATTATGCTCATTTTTCTTTTAAATCCTTAAGGACAAATATAAACAAGTGTTTTGAAGTCCTTTTCTGCAAATTCCATCACCTCTGTTGTAATCTGTTTCTTTCTGTTCACTGCTTATTCTCCTGCATCACATTTTTTTCTGTTTCATTGTGTCTACTAATACTTGATTGGTTGCTAGACATTATTTGACTAAGTTGTGTTCCACATTTTGTTGTTTTCCTTTAAAGCATATTGGGCTTTGTACCACAGGCAATTAAGTTCTTTGCAAAACTGGTGGGTCTCTGCAAGGTTTGTTTTTAAGCTCTGTTAGGGCAGGTGTAGAAAACTTGTTATTTTAAGGCTAGTTTGGCCCTCCTACAGCATAATCCTTCCAGATATCCACTTAATTCAGAGTGTGTCCTACAAAGCCTCTCAGAATTTGGAACTTTTCCAGTCTCTCTATGAAGTCTGGGAATTATTCTTCTTAATTAGTTAATTAGACCAGTTACCTGGTCATTCTCCATCTGGCCTATGAAAGCACATCCTAGTATTCAGCAACAAACTCAAGGTCACCCGTTTCTGAAGCTATTCTTCTGTGTAATTACTTCCTCTCCTGTACTGTTCCCCACATGCTTAATCCATTTCAGCTTCCCATAAGACCATCTCAGACTGCTTGGGTTTTTACTTCTTGGGAGTCTAGAAAATGCCTCTAGGAAGAAAGCTGTGGTGATTTTAGGGCTTTCCTTGACTGTTTTATCTCAGGATCACAATCTATAGTGATAGTGTACTATCTATATCCAGTTGTTTCATCTATCTGCCCAAGTTTCTAGTTTATTTAAGGTGGTTTACTTAAGGAAATCTGGTCTCTGTTACTCCCACTGTGGCTAGAAACAGAACAAGGATACACTCTGAACTGGACATACGACTGAAGCTTTGAACTGAGCTAAACTGAGAGGAGTCTTTCTCTTATAAGAAACAAAAAGTGACTAGAAAGTTACCGAATCAATCGAGAATTCATTAGCGGATGGAAAAGAAGATTTTAAAAAGCTCAGTAAGGCCGAAAGTAAAGAGAAATACAAGCATGTCCGGCTTATATTCCACTGGGTTCATACTTTTCAACGTACTGCTTAGTTCTCTAAATATATTTTTTTGCAAAATGTTATCAAAATACATCACAGTTACCTGAAATATCTTTAAAGGATACTTCGTATACTGATTGCCTGCCAGCCTTAAATTTATATTAGTCACGTTCCTATAAAATTTAGTGTAACCTGAGACAATTTGCATTGAATCTACTTCCCAACAGCAACATTTTAACATAGCATTATATTCCTAATCACGGAGAGGTTACTTGAGGATAGAAGGGTCATTTACAAGAAGTAGCAAAGACCTGGGCTGGTTGCCATGGTCTTTTTCCCCTCAAACACAGTTAATTAGACAGTATTATTTCCAGCAAACATAGAGGTGGCCTCCAGGACTCTCACCACGGTAAGTCAGCACATGAGAGTAAACTTAACAGCCACTCGTGCCCTATTTCAAATAACAGCCAAACATAAAGGGCAGGTGCATGGCCCAGGCACTGTTCTGAACCACCTTACATATGTTACGTCGTTTAACTCTCACAAAACAGTGTGGTGTTGGTACTTCCACGAGCTTCAGCTAATGATGACAAAACTGAGTCCCACAATTAGTGGGGAAGCTAAGATTCAAACCTAGGTAGTCCAGTTCCAGAGTCCATGTTCTTAATTACTGTAACAAAGACTGGCAAACCGTGGCCTGCGGGCCAGCTGCCTATTTTGTGCATAAGAAGTTGTTTTGGCCAGGAGGAGGGAATACATCCAGCTTTTGGAAAGAGTCACAAAGTAAGAAGGCTCCGACGAGAACTCTGCTTGGGGAGGGACGAGTGGGACTCATCAATCCCAAGTAAGGGAACATAAGAAATGTACAGCCATGGCAACAGATGTCTTTCCTGAGTGCTTGGAGGCCCTTTGGTTGTGCTGACGTTTCTGCACGGTGTGTCTACGTTTTGAGGTTATCCACATGTTCTTTCCAGTTAATGCGACGTAGGCTTATCTTCGGAATGGAGAACAAACAGCACCAGGACTGCAAACACATCTTCCCTTTTGAGTCAACCTGGAAAGGACCTTGTGGCCCATCCTCACTCCCAACACCTTGTTTACCAAACAGGATATTATTTCTGTCATCGACGTACTCAGTCTGCCGGATTCTGGGCTGAAATTCGAATCTATTACAATAAAAGTAGGCTGAACTTGCTTATACGCTATCCGCACAACTGACAGTTACAGAAGCACAAATGTTTTCAGGGGGAAAAACTGTTAGGGTTAGTAATGGAAACAAGAGTTACTCATTCAATGTGTTGTTGTTGCTGTTGTTGTGGTCCAAAGTGATGACTCAGTTCAAAAAGCCAGGAGCAAAGCGAAAGTTTCATATTACTTTGTTTGCTAAGGTCACTGTCACACTAATAGAGTCAATTACTTAAACGGTTTAGTCTCTTTGGTAAAACTTCACTACAGGTCTGGATTAGTGAAACACTAAATTGGGAAATATTTTTAAATGTTTTGTTTCCTCAAAATATGCACATGTAGAACAAATCTAACACAAAAGAATGTATGTGTTTCCACCCTTCCTGCCCACCCTGAGTCCCATTCTCCAGAAAAAAATTTGACCGTTTTTTGCTCCTCCGATAGTTATTTCTACAACTCAAAAAAATGAACATATTTAGGTTTCCAGGTTGAATAACCTTACATAACGTCTACAGATTTTCCTAGATTTAAAAATCATAATTTAACTCATCTTCACCGACCTTCAACTATGACTCTCAATTTTGAGCCCTTCTAATACTAACTGCGATTTTAAGTAAACGGAATATAAATTCCCGTTCCACCAAGCCGGCTCTGGATGCTGGAGTCGCCACACTTTTCCTCTAACAGTGTGAAGATGGTAACCATTCATACCTGGAAGTAAACAGCACCCAAACCTTCTGTATCGCAGACTTGTTCTAAATGTTGACAACCGACAACCAGCATCCACATTACAATATATACCTATCATTTAATGCCAAGCAAAGGGGTGCATTAAAATTACATTGAATTCTTTACAAACAAATGCAACGGCGTGACCTCCTGACCACTCCAAGAATAAAAAAATTCTAGTTTTAGGACTGAGGGGACCTACTTTTCCCACTGATCACTTAAAACCATGGCCTTTCTTCTGACAGTTAGGCCCCAACCGGAATTCTTCCTAAGTCTCGGAAGGCAGGGCTGGGGGGGCCCTCAGAAGCCTTGTGCCCCAGCTCCACTTTGGACGCCGTCGTCTGGACCTGGTTCACAGCCGGTGCTCTTGCACTGGCTGCTCAGGTAGGTTGGTTACTCTGTGTCCTGAGGGCCAAGGCTGTCTTTCTTGGATACTCTCCCGTTTTGCTGGGGTGCACACTCCACCATCTTCTCAGGAAGGTCCTTGGGAAGCTAACTTATCTAGTCCTCGTACATCTCAGTATGTCTTTATTCTGCTGTCGTAACAAACAGCAGTTTGTCAGATACTGAACTGAGTCGGTTTACCTTCGGATCCCGTGGGCAATACCTAGGGCATCCAGCACCACTGATGAACACTTTGACGCCAGTCTGACGTTCCTTCACACATGGAGAACTTGTCTTTCTTCCTCTCTGAAAATTTTTGCAATCTTACTTTCCTCCTTAAAGCACTGAAACTTCACAAAAACATACCCACGGGTGTCTTGTTTTTATTAATCATGCTGGATCTCGGTGGGTCCTTTTAATACAGAGACACATACCTCTCCTGCCTCTGGAAATTATCTTCCTTTACTTTTTTGATAATTTCCTCTCTTTCTTTTTCTCTAACTTCTATTAAGCCAAATACCAAACCTCACAGGTTAATTTCTCATGTCTCTGTTCTTGCATTTTGTTGGTCTTGGCTCTCCATTTTTGGGAAGATTACTTCACTTTATTCCCTCGTATTTTTTTACTGACATTTCCATTTCAGCAATTCTTCTTAAAGATGAATCTAGTAGCCCTTTTATGTAATATCATTGCTTCTGCATCAGCCATTCTCCTTAAGGCCCACCTTTTTCTTTCATGTGTCCAGTGTCATACACTCGATGGCCCGTGGGTCTGTGTGTTCACTAGAGACGGGAACACAGGAGAACAGGAGTCGCTCTCGTCCACTCTTGCGTCACTGGGTATTTTAGGAAGGCCTCTTCTCGGGCGGGAAATTCTGAGCTTATGTGTGACCAAGATAGGCTTTACTTGACATAGGCAGAAAAGAACCTGACCGGTGAGCAGCAGACCCCAAAGAAGGAGGAGGGCTTTGCAGTGGAACCAAACTCCCCATCAGAAGTCCTATTTTCTGAAGTTAGTTTCATATCTATGGAAGAATCGGCTTTTGCCCGTTTTGCCTGACCACGCGCACCAGCGGCCTCTGCCTCCAGGAGTGCGCACACCTGCGGTGGGAGGGTGGGGTGTGGGGGACTGGGGTGGGCGACAAGCGTCCACCCAGCCCTTCGACTGTACCTCGTTTGGGGAAACCTCATGTCTAAGTTTCCAAGCTGTAAAACAGCTGCTGACTCTGAGCCCCTGCAGGGGACAATGCCTCCCGCATCTGCACAGGCCCCCTGGCAATACACGCAGGCTAGCACTTTGCAACCCGTCTCATCTCCCAAACCCCAAAAACTTTGTTGAATCTCGTTGGTTGATGATCTCTCTCCCTTTGGTTTGCTATTTATTGGCGGATGGTTATACCTTTCGTCTCTTTTTGTTTTTAAACATTCTGTGCTTTCATTCTGATGAGGCTTTAAAATGGACAGAGAGCAATTAACAGTGCTCAGTGCCTAGTCTACCTTCTTGACCGGAAGCCTTCATCATTTTTAAGCTTATAATGGAAAGTTACAATGACACACAAAAATAGGACACCATAATGAAATGTCATGTGCTAATGACTAACTTTCCAGAATATTTTAAGCAAGTAACATTTGATAACTTGTGGCCTCTACAACAATAAACTCTATTGAGCAAAGTCCTCTGTGACCGACCTATAAGGATGAGAATTACACAATATGTAGAAAATGCTTTGTAAGAATGAGTGTGTTGTATAATTTGATTTTGTAATCAGGTCAAGAGTTCCTTGCAGTATCTGTTACATGGGCTCTCACAGAAAAACTGCCCAGAAGGGGACACAGGACACAGTCAATCCTCTTCTGTAACAGGTAAGAGCGGCCCAGGAATCAGGTGTATGTGCTCATAGGTCTAGAGGCACATGAAGTCACCGGCTAGGGCAACCCCATCTTGTCCACCAAGTTAACAGCAATCACCAGAACCCCCTCCCTCTTCTTAACATCTTACTCATAGGTAACTTAAAAGGTATATGCAATTTAATATAAATATTGCTTAGGCTAGACTGCAAACTTCACACAGATTGTAAAATAAAATGTGATTTTAGAAAAACCATGAGCCTGTGGCAGACTGCTTGAACACCCTATGCGCACGTGTTCCTTTTTAGGTGTGCTTTGGTGGGAAGTTTGAGAAACGCAATGCTAGTCAGGAGCAAAACCAGATTTCCAGCCCCATCATCCGGGTCTCTCGACTCTAAGGCCTGAGAGCAGAACAGGAAGTGTCAGCTTAACCCACCGACGCATCACCAAGACCTAGATTCAGTAATGCAAACACTAGGAAGGTTCGCCAGCTCACGGATGTAAAACTCCACGCAGAAACGGACACTTACCTGGTACTTCACAGTTTACAAAGCCGTTGTTAAAAGGTGGCAAAGATAATAAACTTTGCAACAGCTTTGCATATGGATATTATCATCACTCTCATTTTACAAAGAAAGGAAAGCTCAGGGACCTAAGTAGCTGGCCATCATGAGCAACCTGCCACAGTTAGTAAATGACTTAAACCCAGTCCCGTTTACGCCCCAACTTTCGCAGTGCAGCATGCAGCCGGTCTCCTGCCTTGACCATTCGCCTGTTCCCTTTGCGTGGCGTCTGGTTCTTGTTTGATGGCCGTAATAGGCAAGGAGAATAATCCAAGGTTTTCATATGTGTGCTTTCAGCTGCTTGCATTTTCCAATTCCTTTGGGCCTCACCTACTTGCCCTCGTAGTGCTCCCCAAGCGGAGAGTGGATGAGAAGCTACCGGTGTGCCCTCCCTCCTTGGTCGTGGCTGCAACTAAAGAGAGCAGCACCTTCAACTTCCAGTTGGTGCCCAAACAAGCCTGTGTCTCACACTGGTTCACAGAGAAGAGGCAAGTGAATGTCTCCACCTCCCCTTCCTGCTCTCTTCCCTACTCTGTGGAGGCTCCCCTCCTCCTCCTCGGGCCACTGCCCTAGAAGGACAGCAGTGTGGTACTGGCTGGTTCCATCCCCTCCACCCAAATACCACACTCCTGCCCAGAAGCCCTGATCCTGGACTCACGGGTCGGTCCCGCCATCCCCCAGCTTCAGCGACACGCTGTCCCGGTCTTCAGACATCGACGCCAGCTGACTCTGAGGACGCCCTCCAGGAAGGTAGGATGAGGATCAGACCAGAAACCAATGGAGCCAACCTCCCCTTAACAATATCACCATCAGGGTTTCCTCATGCAGAACACGGTTTCTTTCTCTTAGCACACACTACTTCACCAAGGTTTGAATTAAGTGGGGCTCCAGCACGATCCACAAGCCTCTCCATCCCGTGTAAGAGTTCGATAATGAAAACATCCTCTTTGCTTACAGTCAACTCACCGACTTAATTCACTCCTGCACTGGGAAGGGCGCAAAACTCGAAGTGTCCGCAAACCTCACGGATGTGCAAAGAGCCCACACGTACACGTTCACGCTGAGAATAGGACACTTCATACACGGACTGTTGTAAAACCCCAAGCTTCTATTTTTATGCAATTATACCCGTTGCCACCAGGTCACAGTCTTCTTTTGAAGGCCGGGGCGCCTCTCCAGCGCAGGCACTGCTGCATTCTAGGTCTTGTGAAAACCCCATACATGCTCCGTGGCGAGAAGTCTAACTATATCCAAAGACACCGCGCATAATCCAACAGCTACGCCTGGGAATAAGACGGACCGTGACAGGAGACGCTCCCCTGGGCGTTCTTCCACCCGGGTCACCTTAGAGGTGACAGGACTCAGACAATACACTCTTCCCGAACGTCTGAGAAACTGTTCCCCCGAGCCCCCTCGTAAGAGAAGGCTTGGCCAGCGGAGTGGCTATCTGCCCAGACGGCCGAATGCAGAGGGCTGTGAGACGGTCGGACAGTGACCTGGTACTAACCCACGCAGTGACAGAGCTAAACAGAAACACAGCTTCCATTCCACTCGTTCATAACGACTGCAAAAAACACTCCGTTTCTTTTCAACACACAATTCTTCCAGCAATACCTTAGTTTTAGTTGGGCACCAACGCCTTCAATGGTAACAGTATATTTTATTCTATGTCATGAATATTAAAATGTCATGCTTCCGGTTCAGTCACCTTACAGGTTTAACCCTAAAACTGTCACTTATAATTACAAGAGGGGAAATGAAGTATTTATTGTACTTATTTTTTCAATTACATTATACAGAAATGAGGTGGAGGGAACACTTGATTTCAGCAGCCCCTTCACAACACACACCATCCAACAACTATCTGGCTTTAAATACTGGGGCACTGGGAAGAGTTCCTAAGAGTTTACATACAAGTCAGCAAACAAATCCCTTTCAGGTCTGCTCTCCAGACCTGTCCAAACCACGTCTTCAAACACTAAATTACAAGGGAAACCAAGTGTCTGTTGGGCGGGGCCCACGGGCACGTGGAAGGGATCTGAGCCACAAGCGGTAGGAGCCACAAGGACACTTCCACTAAAAATAAAATTTCACTTCAGCCTAGTAAAGGTTATGCTTCATTAGCCGAGCCATGTTCTCATGAAGGTGATAAGCAACTAAAACGGACTCTGATTAGCACAAGAACAGGGGGGATTTCTGGAAGAATCTCAGAGAATCAACGAGGACTCTGGAAGGTGACAGGCAGTCACCAGGCAAACCCAACCAGCACTGACACAGTCAGACCCATGCTGGGGTGGGGGTGGGGAGGGGCGCCTCTACTGGCCCCTGGAGAGTCCTGAGGAAGAGCCTCCCCCCACCCCCCCCCCCCCCTGCCCCGCCCTGGAGTTCAAGGTTCCTATGGAGGTGGGGGGCAGGGAAGGGGGGAGGGGAGCGAGAACCCTCTGGCTCCCTCCTTAGTGCAAACATAACCAATGTTCTACTGGAAACTGGGGTGTTTTCAGGAACGGGAATGGATACCAAGCAGCTCAAAGCAACAAATGTCTACTATCGACAATCAACATCTAGCAATACTGAAATGTTTCTCAGTGTGAGTAAATCAATACATGTAAGCATATTCACACGGCCATGGCTCTCAAAGGACTCAAGCTAGAGGCTCCCTACAGGGCAGTAAAGGAATAAACACCTTCTGTTTGGCCTCTACCTAGAATTTTTTGTCCAATTCAGATTGTGATCCATGTGAATAAAGAACCAATCTGGGACAGACTCAGGGGTAGCCTACCAAGTGCCATATGTAGTTAACCGTCAAATCAAACACTGTCGTTATTCACCCACGAAAATAGACTTGCGTGCGATCCAAATAAATTTGCAAACTGATATTCATCACCGTGATATAGAAAACACGCTTGTCTCAATGCTTTTTAAAAGACCTAAATTTCATGAAGATTAAATATTATTATAGAAAACTCAATCCTTCCAACCAAAAAGGAAAGAGAAAGTAAACATTCTAACATGAACAAACTGCATAATGTATACACCGGAATTCACAGATCTAGAAAAACCTAATGTATAAATCGGATGTAAAAACATTAATGTATAAATTGAAATTCATAGATCAAGAAAAAGCTACATATTAACAGTTCAAAAAGGATATATGTACACATATATAAATCTTTATTAGAAGGATGTCTCAAAACACTTGTCTAAAACGATAACGTTTCTAAGTTCCCACCTCCAAATACTCAGTTCTACAGAACCCAGAAACCCACTTACATAGAGGGACTTGGGATTTAGCTGAAAGCACTTCTGTTTGTCTGCTGGAAATGATGCAAAAAGTAAATGTGAACTCACAGCAGCATCCGTCCAAACCCTGTCATAAAATACTTTGCAACACATTAAATACAAAAGAGCGTGCTTCCAAATGGTGGCTGCGGTATGTGCATTTGCTCGAGACACGTTACTGCGTGCAGCCGGCACGAACCTTCCCGAAGCTTCAATCGAGGACTGACAGCTACCAGTTCCAGTTCGCACGGGGTAACTAGAGCAAATGGCGGCTGGGCTTAATGTTCTGCTATTTCTTTTCGTTCTGGAATGTAATCAACAAGATACTAAGATCGCTTCTGCTCAGCTTTTCTTTACTCTCCACGCTGACAGAAACAGACATTCAATCATCGGGCACCGAGTGACGAGGGCAGGTGCTCAGTCGGGCTCTCCCGACAGCCGTCCCCACAATCGAGGTCCTCACGCTTTCTGCAGGGCGGCCATCCCTTTGGCGTCTGACAGGGAGACAGAACCTTCATGGGGCCTCCGCTCCTCCGCACCTCCTAGGCTTCTGGACGTCTCCCGCACCAATGTGTGCGCATCAGGGCGACCTGCTCTCGCGGGTCCAGGAAGGAAGAGCCGCGGCGGCTGCCCCCCGTGCTGTGCTACCGTAAAACCCGGTGCTCCCACACGGCTGTGGTGTGGCAGGACAACTCAAGGAGACGTGAGGATGGCGAGCGTGCGGCCCGGATTTCACAGGCCATGTGCCGGCGTTCTTCACGCATTGGAGTGTTAACTCTCCCGTCCTCACGGAGACTGTACAAACGCGTGTGTATTTAATCCCCTTACCCCCACACTTGCTGTGAGCGCTCTGTGCAGCCTCACTCCTTCCTGGGCCTCCAGACCGTCCCATGACACCAGTACTGTCCCCACTCTGCCGTGAGACCGCCGGGACATCTCCGCCGTCCTCCCGGGTCATCCCTCACCTCCCAACGCCGACGGCCCTCAGCTCAGCACTCCCCGCACTTCATTCTATCATCAGATTTACTGCCATCAAACGCGACTCCGTATTTTATTTGTCAGCCCGCCTCCTCGAACTACAATCCGTGAAGGCAGAGGTCTGGTCTCTTGTTTCCTGCTCTATTTCTCCAGCCACTACAAGCACCGAATACACGGTAAGTACTCAGTAAAACACTCGAATGACAGATGAATACATGTCACAGACTTGTCAATCAAAAAGAATACTGGAAAATCAGTTCAGACATCCTAGGCACACAGTATACCCTAAAGAAAAAGGAGAACAAAATTCTGAGTACATAACATTTGCACCTGAACCTCAACTAACTACGTCCGTTGACGTGGAGGTTGATGGACAGAATAAATGGTTGGTTGGGTCAGGCTCTGTGGCTGTTGGCAATGGAAATCAACACAAAAA